TCCTCCCTCCCTCTCTCCCTCCCAGCCTCCTTTCCTTCCTTCCCTCCCTCCCTTCCTCCCTCCCTCTCTCCCTCCCTTCCCTCCCTCCCAGCCTCCTTTCCTTCCTTCCCTCCCTCCCTTCCTCCCTCCCTCTCTCTCTCCCTTCCCTCCCTCCCACCCTTCTTTCCTTCCTTCCCTTCCTCCCTTCCTACCTCCCTCTCTCCCTCCCTTCCCTCCCTCCCACCCTCTTTTCCTTCCTTCCCTCCCTCCCACCCTCCTTTCCTTCCTTCCCTCCCTCCCTCCCTCCTTTCCCTCCCTCCCTCCTGCCCTCCTTTCCTTCCTTCCCTCCCTCCCTCTCTCCTTTGTCAGATGCTGTGTGTGGTCCTGTGCTGGGATCTGGGGGCAGAGACAAGAGCTGTGGCCTAAAAAGAGGGGAGTGGGGAGACAAGGGTGCTCATGTAGACAACCAACCAGGCTGCTACACCTGCCTTTGCAGCAGAGCGCGGGAGTGTGGTAGGAATTTGTCATGTCAGAGGGGACATCAGAGCTGGGGTGCAACAGAGGAGCAGCAGCTTTCCAGGTAGTTAAGGCAGGAAGCAGTGTGGTCCAGAAAGAAGAGATGACGGGTGCCAGTCCACAGCGACAGTGAGCAGAGGCCCGGGCGCTTGGCAGGTGGGTTCACATCTTGTATCTGCCTGTTTCTTGGCTGAGTGACTTTGGGCAAGTTGCTTAATTGCTGAGTCTCACTTTGCTTCATCAGCACAAGAATAAAAATGCCCATCTCTCAGAGCAGTTGTGATGATAACTAAGGTAATGTCTTTAGAGTCTGTGCACTACAAAATGCAGCTGTCCTTCTAGAGGGGCCACTGCCGTGACTTCGTGGGGACATTTCCATGGGGATCCACAAGAGGTTTCACTGGATAGGTGTGTATGTCCAGTGTTTAGGAGGCGCTCTTGAAGCAGATCTGTTGCCCTCAGGAGGTCCTCTAAGTACACACGTGACTTTGCCATGGAGAGGGAAATGATAAGCTAGTGTATTCAAAACAGGAGCAGCCCTTGTAAGCAAAGCTGTTCCATTACAGCCAAGTCATGTACATCTCAGCTCCAAAAGAGAAAGTGACCGTTCTCACTGAATCCTCCTGGCAACAACCTTGGGACTGGCTGAGATAAGACACTCCACTTTCAGGGTGCACCCTGACTGTTCACTCATGCCCTGGATGCCCATCTCCTTCCCTCACCCTGACCGGCATTTTCAGCCATATACCCTCGGCTGGCCTCTGCCCCCAGCCTCGGGGCTTTTGCCATGGCTGTGCCATCCATCTGGCCTATCGGACCCATTTGCTCACAGCATCCCACTGTTTGTAATAATTTGTTTCCCGCTTTCCTTGTCTCCTGTCTGTCTTCTCCCGCAGGGCTGAGAGCTCCAGAAGGAACCAAGGACAGGGAGCCTGTCTCTTCCAGCCCTGGTGCCCAGAAGAGCCAGGCTCATAGGAGGTCTGCAAGAAATGTTTCTGAACGAACTGATGAAAGGCAGGTCTTTTTATACCCATTTCATGAGTGAGGAAACTGAGGCAGAGAGCGACAGACGCACACACCCATAGAGAGAGAAGGTGAGAGAGAGAGAGAGAGAGAGAAAGCGCAGCTCTAGCTTGCCTACGTGCAGGATTGAGGTGGGTGTGAGAGAGATGTGTGGGCAGGGCTGTAGCTCCGGGTGTCCCTTAGGGGCCCAAGATGCATCTCCCGGGCGAGCGCTGGGGTCCCGGGGCGGGCCGGCGGCTGGAGCTTCTTCGTGGGCGGGCGCAAGGGGCAGGCTGGGCGGGCGCAGGCGGGAGCCTAGCAGACGGCTCTGCTCAGCACGCCGGCAGCATCGAGGCAGCAGCAGGTGAAGCAGGCGCGGCTCTGCCAGGCGCCTGGTGTCTCCTGGGGACAGGAGTGCGGCCGGGGACGGGGGCCGAGTGGGTCCTGTGCGAACCCTCGGGGAAGCCGGGCGCCCTACCTGCCCTTGGCCCCGCGCAGAGCGTCACACTGGATCTGGGGAGCATCCTGCCGCACTGTGGACCTCAGTCTCCTCACCTGAGACATGGGCGGCCCCACCCTCATCCTGTAAGCTGTGAACCGAGGAGGTAAGGGGTGCATCTGAGGTGTCTGGGCGCTGTGGGCATTAGGTGATAGCAGCTTTTGCTGAGATTTCAGGAGACAAAGCAAAAGGCCTTCTCTATTCTAACCCCACTGGAGATTAGCATTGTTTGTGTGATTCATTCATTTTCCTGCGATTGCTTGGGAAGGCAGGCTGCAGGGGGGTCCCTGCTGGGGCTTGCAGCTGGCTCTAGTTTTTGATCTGGAGAGCTGCCTGGAGACAAAACGCAGAGACACCATTTTACTGACCTTGTGTAACAATCCACCCTTCCCCTCCTAGACTCACCACCCCCTTGGGTGTGCCTGAGGACCCTGAGGTCCCTGGTCCTCACTGGTCAGTGTACCCTAAGCCTAGCAGCCCCAGGCAGATGCCAATCACCACCTTTTTCAGTGCTTCTCCTCCTGTCTTGGCCCTCTACTCCAATCCATTTTCTATATCCAAATGATCTTTCTGGAATGTTCTCGGGCTTGCTGGTCTGGCCCACTACTCCAGCCTCATCATCTGCCACCCTGGCATCAGTTATTCCGCTTACTTTTCCCAGCAGGCTCTGCTCCTTCCTGCCTCTGTGCCTTTGCGCATGCTGTTCCTTGCACCTCGAGTTCCCTCCTCTCCCTGTCCTTTTGACTGGTTGACTCCTCTTCAGCCTTTGAGCCCTGCATATTTGCCACCTCTTCTCTCACCTCCCTGCTCCCTGCTCCTTCCATGATCTCTCAACTCACAGACCTCCCATTCATATTGATGTTGGCAATGGCAATGAGTTCTATCTGCCTTTGTGCTGGTCAGCCCCTATGGTCTGGGAGGGCCATGGCTGTGTAAGTCATCTTTGCAGCCCTTGTTTCTAGCTCAGGGCTTGACACACATTTATTGAGTGTGTGAATGAAGCAGTGAGCATTTTCTGCAGCCCTCGCTGCCCAGTACTTCCACTCTGATCATGCTGTAGGTAGTCGTTTTTTCTCCACACTGCTGGCTGAGCCCTGCTGACGGTCACCCAGAGCCTTGGGTTCTGGCCTATTTGCTGCTTCTGAGTGCAGTGCATCTGCCACAGGTTCATGCAGCCGGGGCTGCTCTTTGTCTTATACTGGGCCTGGTGTTTGGCGCTGGAATAGTTTGTCATGTTCAGCCCCAAGTAGACGTTTTTGTCAGAAGACTGTAGTGCCAGAGAAATCTCCCTGCCTTTAAGTTCTGGTGTCCTAAATAACCAGACTGTAAACTATCAGGTGAATTTGCAGCTTGATCTTGTAAATGACAAAATGAGACCCTTTTTTTTTTTGGCGGGGGGGACTGAGTCTCACTCTGTTGCCCAGGCTGGAGTGCAGTGCAGTGGTATACTCTCTGCTCACTGCAAACTCCGCCTCCCAGGTTCAAGTGATTCTCCTGTCTCAGCCTCCCAAGTAGCTGGGACTACAGGCATGTGCCACCAGACTTGGCTAATTTTTGTATTTTTAGTGGAAACAGGATTTCAGCATGTTGGCCAGGCTGGTGTTGAACTCCTGACCTCAGAGACTCATCTTTATAAGTAGATCAAATGCACAGTGAGTGACATTCATGACAGTTGACAAATAAGAGTTTACTGAGCTGACTGATTTTGGCCTTACTTTGTAAAAACTGCCTTAACGTAGCAATTGATCATGAAGAAAATATGTATGCTCAGAAATACATATGGCCATTACATGAGACCATATCTCAAATAGGGTTTTCTGCTATGAATAGTGTTTCACAGGATGGGGCCTATGGGCCATGTTCATCAGAATCATGTAGTCTACTTATGAAATACAGATTCTTGGGCCCCATCCTGTACTCACTGAACTACATCGCCTGGTGGAAGGGCCCTGGGATCTGTGCTTTCAATATACTTCTAGAGTGACTCTGATGTTTACTGAAGTTTGAGAACTGCAAACCTGTGGGATTAATAATGACTCGAGAATCTGAGAGATGTCACAATGATGTGGGTAGAGGTATGGTGGTTCCTGTGTAAAATATCCATCATTGGTACTACCACGGGGGAACTCTGGAGTCCAAATTCCAGCTCAGTCTTTAGCAGGGGATCCATTGTGCTGAGGAGGTCCTCAGAAAGGAACAGGCTCTCCCAGGACATGGAGATGTGGAGCACTCCGGTGTTCTTGTGAGCTGCACACTGCATCAGGTGACTTGAACACAGTCATAAAGTGGGTTCTGGGGAGGGCACTGGACACCTGTGACTTTGGCCAGGTGTGTCTGCACATGGTGGCTGGTAGGAGGAAGCTGCTGTGCTGACGAGCCAGTCTTTGCATACTGGGCAGTGTTCAACTTTGCCAGGTATCACCTAAAAAACAAGGCTGGCGGGGCAGGAAGGGGCTGAGACTAGGAGGGTGCACTAAGTGTGGATCCCCGAGGTTTTGGTTCTGTCTCGAAGGAAATAGGGTGCCGTGGAAGAACACAAGCAGTCCTGGTCAGAGTGGCATTTATTGCTGTCTTCATTCAAGTAAAATGTGACAAGGGGCTTTCTACCCATGTGCCCTAAGCAGCTCCATCGCTAAACTCTGCATACAACACTCCACCTTCTTTTTCATCAGGACAGCCTCAAATCCCGAGGCTGGAGGGAATTGGTAGAACAAGTTCTGGCATCAGACGGCCTGAGTTTGTAACTGGCCCTGTTACTTATTAGTTGTGTGACTATGGGCAAGTTGCTTCTGTCTTGGAGTCTTAGATTCCTCATCTATGAAATGGATTGATAATACCTACCTCTGGGAATAAACTAGCTAACAGACGAAAGCCCTGAGCACAGTCCCCAGCATGCAACAAGTGCTTCTAACAGGGTGGCAATCACTGCATGCCAGTGTCTTACTGTGAGCCGTAGGTAATAGCTCCTCCAGGTACCAGCCTTGGGACAGAAGCAGCTGAGAGCCTTTCTACCTGGCCCTGCTCCTCCCTGGATTCTACCCTGGGCATGATCTCTGAGTATTGTTTGTCTGTTTGTCTTACAGGCATCATTCCTGAAGTGTATCGCTTAGTTCGAGTCTTGGAATCTTTTCACATCCACCATGAACACCTCTCACCTCCTGGCCTTGCTGCTCACAGGGTCCCCACAGGGTGACAACAGAAGCAAGTCCCCGGACGTCCCATACAACTTCTCTGATCATTGCCAGGATTCTGTGGATGTGATGATCTTCATCGTGACTTCCTACAGCATTGAGACCGTCGTGGGGGTCCTGGGCAACCTCTGCCTGATGTGTGTGACTGTGAGGCAGAAGGAGAAGGCCAACGTGACCAACCTGCTCATTGCCAATCTGGCCTTCTCTGACTTCCTCATGTGCCTCCTCTGCCAGCCGCTGACCGCCATCTACACCATCATGGACTACTGGATCTTCGGAGAGACCCTCTGCAAGATGTCGGCCTTTATCCAGTGCATGTCGGTGACTGTCTCCATCCTCTCGCTCGTCCTCGTGGCCCTGGAGCGGCATCAGCTCATCATCAACCCAACAGGCTGGAAGCCCAGCATCTCGCAGGCCTACCTGGGGATTGTGCTCATCTGGGTCATTGCCTGCGTCCTCTCCTTGCCCTTCCTGGCCAACAGCGTCCTGGAGGATGTCTTCCACAGGAACCACTCCAAGGCTCTGGAGTTCCTGGCGGATAAGGTGGTCTGTACCGAGTCCTGGCCACTGGCTCACCACCGCACCATCTACACCACCTTCCTGCTCCTCTTCCAGTACTGCCTCCCACTGGCCTTCATCCTGGTCTGTTATGCACGCATCTACCGGCGCCTGCAGAGGCAGGGGCGTGTGTTCCACAAGGGCACCTACAGCTTGCGAGCTGGGCAGATGAAGCGGGTCAATGGGGTGCTGGTGGCGATGGTGGTGGCCTTTGCCGTGCTCTGGCTGCCTCTGCATGTGTTCAACAGCCTGGAGGACTGGCACCATGAGGCCATCCCCATCTGCCATGGCAACCTCATCTTCTTGGTGTGCCACTTGCTTGCCATGGCCTCCACCTGCATCAACCCATTCATCTATGGCTTCCTCAACACCAACTTCAAGAAAGAGATTAAGGCCCTGGTGCTGACTTGCCAGCAGAGTGCCCCCACAGAGGAGCTGGAGCATCTTCCCCTGTCCACAGTGCACACGGAAGTCTCCAAAGGGTCCCTGAGGCTAAGTGGCAGGTCCAACCCCATTTAACCAGGTCTAGGGCTTCTCCCTGCCCTGTCCCTTGCCTTTCACTTAGCTAAGTGGGAACACTGCAGGCTGGGGTGGCACCCAGCATTCCTGGCTTTCTGTGGCCTAGATAGGCTGGCAAGAGCTGTTTTTGCATCCATTTGCATCACGAGGACTGGCATTCTGATGCTTCAGCTGTTTGTTCCTGGGAGAATTCTAAGCACAGATTCCAGAGGTCACAGTAAGCCTTGCAGCTTGAGTTGAAAGATGCCAGAGCCGGAGATGTCTGCTGATAGCAGGCAGGGTTCATTCTGGTGACACAGTAACAGAGGCCTGGCCTGGGAACCCAGGGATTTCATCTCCACCAGTGAGACCACAAGGCCACTGTGAGGAGAGAGAAGGTGCGCTTGGAGTCAGAGCTCTGGACCTGAGTCAACTCCTCGCCTCTGTGAGAGATGGTGCTTCAGAAGTGGTAAAGAATTCTGCATATGCAAAGCAGAGGGATTACTGTCATATCGCTAGAGCATCCAGCTGAAGAGAATGGATCCAGTAGTCTTGGGTCACAGCCTTCTGCAGCAGGAATTCTAGGACTCACTTCCTACTCCATCCCTTTTCTCTATCACTGTGTCTTCCGTCTTACATGGAAATCAGCCTGCAAGTTCCTCTCCTCGATGAGATGCGAGCACCTTGCAGGGGAAATCCATATCATCATGGAGCTTGTGTCCTACATGCCATGAACAGGCCCTGGCACAGGGAGAGAGCTCCAGGGGGTTTTCTATGGTGGGTTGATGGTAAAGGTGCCACTCACTGCTGAATGTTTGGTGCTGGACAGGAGTCCAGAATGGGAAGGGGCCAGGGCTCAGGCTGCTATAGCCAGTCTCCTGCCTGCCCTTCCTTGCCTCTCAGGACCTCATTTGATATGGCAGCTGGACTGAGACTTTGTGGCTCTCCCCATTGTTGACCCACTACAGAGGCCTCCAGAATTCAAGGCCAAGGCTGCAGCCTCCTTCACTCCATGTTCTGATCACTGAGCTGACTTGCCCCAGATAATGTGCCACGAATCTTCCAAAGTTTCCCCAGAATATTGGGCATCCCAGTGGCCTTCAGTAGGATCAGGGCAGGGAGTCCTGGGAGTCTGACTTCATGGGGCACTGGCTGAAAAAAGCAGGGGTCCCCTTCCTCCAGCCAGCCAGGGTAAAAAGAGAAAGGGCTCCAATGAGTGTGAATATCTTACCTTGGGGGTTACGGCCCAGTCCTCTGGATGCTGAACCAGGCCCAAGGCTTTATCTGTGTGTGGACCAGACAGCCTGTCCTTGCAGGGAAGCAAAGGTCAAGACTGCTCCTGGGCTGCCTTGGATGGGATGTCTCTGCATGGCTCTGTTGGCTCAGACCGGCCCTCCAGCAGAATGGACAGTGGCTGGCCAACTATATCTTGCCAGGGCAGGGTGTTCATGTGCTGGAACCCTGGAGGGGCCCCGTTGTGAGGTGGCATTGGTTCTGCACAGGGGGTCTGGCATAGGGCTCTCACCCCTGACCAAGAACCCGTGTAGCTGACACCCAAGACAAGTGCTCTTTGAGCCAGAAGCTCCCTTCCTGGAGCTGTTTAGCTTATTCCTTCTTTTGGTCACATTTCCCATTCAGTTCCTTTGTTCATTTTTGCGTTGGATTTTGGGCAGATTTCTTGAGCCATGCCCTTGGATACAGTTTGTGCTTGTTCTGTTGTGCCATCTGCTGCTGGTTTCTGCAGGGGACCACCTGCCCAAAATAGATGGGTCCTGGAGCAAAGCCCAGGCTCTGGGACCCATCTATTTTGTAAAAAGTCCACATGTGCAAAGTAACCCCCAAATGCGAGAGGAGCCAAGAAGCTAAAGAAGGAAGCAGACAAATCCAGTTTGTTAGTATTGGGTGATTATTTATTTGTTTATTTTTGAGACGGAGTGTCGCTCTGTCACCCAGGTTAGAGTGCAGTGGCACGATCTTGGCTCACTGCGAATTCTACCTCCCAGGTTCAAGCGATTCTCCAGCCTGAGCCTCCTGAGTAGCTGAGACTACAGGTGCGCACCACTGCATCCAGCTAATTTTTGTATTTTTAGTAAAGGTGGGTTTCACCATGTTGGCCAGGCTGGTCTTGAACTCCTGATCTGAGGTGAACCACCCACCTCAGCCTCCCAAAGTGCTGGGATTACAGGTGTGAGCCCCCACACCCGGCCAGTATTGGGTGATTTATTGAGGGAACTTACAGGCAGAAGGGTGATCTTGGGTCTTCACTGTTACTCTCGGACCCAAGGCTTATATACCATAGAAAAGGTTATATGTGCCCCAGCAAGACAATGAATGGCAGCGTGCCACAGCAGTCAAGAATCCCACGTGGACCATAACCCAGAATTTGCATGATAATGTCAAGCTTGCCTTGATCTAAAAGCAGGAGTACATATTCTTATACTCAGGACAGTAAATAAAGTAGGAGTCAGGAGGCATTCGTGGGACTGGGGCTAATCAGAAGTCAACATGGCAAATCCATCTTGGGATGGAGTCACTTTTGTCTTCACATCATCCCAGAAAGATGTCATTGTCCAAGTTTCCCAAGGAATTGGGGGCCTCAGGCCCCCCTGGATCCCATCCCATACAAGTGCCTGGAGCTGCTTCTTATTATTAGTCTCGATGATGCTAAGAAGCTGGCGACAAAGATGATTTCGGGTGCAGACATGCTTGAGGATGGAGGGCCAGGCCAGGCATCTGGGGAAGGTGCTTGGTGCTAGGAATTGGGTAGAAGCCTCATTGAGTGTCATCTGTGCCCCAGCATCACCTGGAGCTTGTAGGTATGTAGGGTCCTTGTTGCCAGCCCAGCTCGATTTAATCTGAATCCACATTTTATCAGGATCCCAGGTTAATTGATGCACATTAAAGTTTGAGAAGCTCTGCTCTAAGAAACGGATTGCCCTGGAGCCTAGAGTCACTGGATAAGCAACTGTAGACACCCATCCTAGTTCTGGAAACATCGCTAAAATTGTTATTACTGGAAAGGTGCATTCAATTTTGGTTGTCTGTCTCATCTCTGGCTGCATGTGGTCATATTTCTTGTGAGACCTTCATATTCTTTTGATAAATATTTGCCATATGCATAGTTTCCATAGATATCTTCATAGTGAACATGCCTTTTTGTATTCTGCTCTATTTCACTTAAAACTATATCAACAGTTTTTCTTTTTATCTTGCTAGATATTATTTTTTTTGAGACGGAGTTTCACTCTTGCTGCCAAGGCTGAAGTACAATGGCGTGATCTCAGCTCACCGCAACCTCTGCCTCCCAGGTTCAAGCAATTCACCTATCTCAGCCTCCTGAGTAGCTGGGATTACAGGCACCTGCCACCATGCCCAGCTAATTTTTTTTTTTTTTTTGTATTTTTAGTAGAAATAAGGTTTCACTATATTGGCCAGGCTGGTCTCAAACTCCTGACCTCAGATGATCTGCCCCCCTCTGCCTTCTAAAATGCTGTGATTATAGGTGTGAGCCACTGTGCCCAGCCTAAATGTCATTTTTGATGGCTGCTTATGAGTGTAGAAACTGCCCCAATGAAAGGCAGCACCTCTCAATATCTCTAGCTCCCGGGGTGTTGGGGGGGCATCTTTAGCCAGCAGGTGGACCCTCTGCAATTCATTGTGGGAGGAACCCATTTTACAGAGGAGAATCATGACTGGAATTGGAGATTCACACCACAAAGACTGACTGGGAACCCTCAGAGGGTGCAAAACCTTATCACATCCTGGCTGTGAGTACTAAAATCCTGCCTAATGTTAGTCTTTCCTTTCTAAAGTATTGATGTGGCCTTTTTTTTTCATTATAAATGTAGTCATATTCATTCTGAAAGATATGCAATATACACAAAAATAAAATGAAAAAAATTATCAGGAGTTCTACCACTCAAACATAATCACTGTTTACATTTTGGGGAATCATTTAAAAAGTTTTTATATGCATAGTCATATATACATATGTCTGTTTTTAAAAAAATGTTTGAGATTATAGTGTGTCCATATGAGTACTTATATATTATATTTAAGGATTGTTTTATATCTTTTTTGTTTAACCTGATAGGAATTTTTATTCACTTGTTTATTCATTAAACAAATATGTCCGACACGATGCTAGCTGCGGGGATGCAGTGGTTAGTAATCAGACATTGTCCCTGTTCTACGGAATTTAGAGTCCACTGATAGATATGTCCCTTATCCTTAATCACCATCTGTCGTGGCATTCTGAGCTGTTTCTAGACCTGTTGCATAGAGTTTTATGATGAACGTCTATGCAAAGAACCTTTTCTATGTTTGGAATTATTTCCTTAGGAGAGATTTCCAGAGGTGGAATTAACAAAGGGCATGGACATTTCTCAAGGCTCTTGATGTGTACTGCAAAACTGATTTCCAAAAAAGGGCTGGAACAATTTGCACTCCCTGAAGAGTGCTCATTTCACTGTACCCTGGCAACTGTTGGGGATTTACCACTAACCAAAAGACTTTGACCTGAATCGCCTGGACTGGAGGGTGTCCCCGCTCCTGCCTCCAGGTCCAGCAAGCACTGGGGGCACTGACCTTTGTAATGTTAGCTTGACCCTGTCCCTCTGTGAAACCTTTGGGGGCTCCACACAGCCTTTAGGGTTGCGGGACTATATAACTTATCCAAACAGGGACACTTGAGTATGAAAGGGGTTGCCATGAATAATCACACTGGGACAACAGGCAAAATCACCCTGGGAAATGGGAACATGAGGTCATCCTACTATAAATAAACCCGATCCCTTTAACATAGCTTGAATTCAACCCTCTGCACCAGCTGGCCCCAGCTTACCTTTCCAATCTCTGTGCATCCTGACATATCACATGATCCGGTCATAGCGGGCCTACAATTACCAACCCTGTGTTCGGTGTCACTGTCTCTGTACATCTGCTCCTGCCATTCCCTCCTCCTGCCTTCACCCACTCCACCCCCCGCCAGGCTGCAATGCCCCCTTGCCCTTCTGTGTAGGTCCAAATCCTACCCTTGCTTCAAAACACACATTAAATAGTACCATTCAATACTGCTTTCATTCAACAAACATATACTGACTGCTTATGATGTGTGAGGCACATAGGCACAAGACCGAAAACATCCCGCCTCCTGTGGAACTTTAATTTATGTGTGCAACTGTGACAAATGGTCCTAAATATGGACACAAAATGGTGTGTCGGAGAGTCTGCCCTGTTATGATTTTGAATAGACACACCCACCACCCCACAAGTTTGTGAGCTCCTTGAGGGCAAAATACAAAAGGCTCATCCTTCACCCCTGCAAAAGCACTGACACACCCTTGGATAGAGCAGGCCCTCAAGCATTTGCCAAGTGAAGAATTAATACGAAAAAAGCTTACCTATTCAGTCTGCAAGAGTTTTCTAACAACCAACTTGGGATTCTCCATTAATCTGAGATAAAGGGAAGCCTGAGTTTCCACAAACCTTAGAGAAATACCCCCAGGCCCTACCACTGTGACCCTTGTTCCACCCTGATGCTGGAAGAAACCGAAGTCACGGGATTCACTGACTGCTTCTCGGCAGGTTAAGTGACTCATCCAAGGTCACACAGCTAGTGACTGAGCCACTGGAAGGGTCAGGAGGTGACACAGGAAAGACTCAGAATTGCATGAGTGGATAAGTCACAAAGGAGTCACTGGAGCGGAGGGACCTGGAGGGGGAGGTGACCCTGAGAGCTCAAATGGCCAGAGAAGAACAAACAAGCCAATAGCCCCAAGGACCTCAATTGTTCCCAGATCCCATTCGCTGTCATCTGAAGACTATTATTTTCACTCTGTCGGTGTTCTCTTCTCCTTTTTGCACAAAACTCTTCTAGAGCCTTGTCTAATCTTTTTCTCTCTCTCTTTTTTTGTTCTTTTAGAGACAGGGTCTTGCTCTGCCACCCAGGCTGGAGTGCAGTGGCACGATCATAGCCCGTTGCAACCTCGAACTCCTGGGCTCAAGTGATCCTCTCACCTCAGCCTCCCGAGTAGCTAGGACCACAGGTGCATACCACCATGTCCAGCTAATTAAAAAATTAAAAAATATATATTATAATTTTGGTAGAGACTGGGTCTTCCTACATTGCCCAGGCTGGTTTTTCTTTTCTTTTTTATTTTCTTTTCTTTCTTTTTTTTTTTTTTTGTAGGTCTCTCTCTGTTGCCTAGGCTGGTCTTGAACTCCTGGCCTCAAGTGATCCTTTTGTCTCAGCCCCCCAAAGTGCTGGGATTGGCATGGTATACAGTCCCTGGCCCTCTGTCTAATCTCGAAACTTCCATTTCCTCTCCTCTTATGTGCTCACCAGCCCATTCATACAGTTCTTGCCAAGGTCATCAATGACCTCCATGTTGCCAAATCTTGTGGCTAGTTCTCAGTCTTGTCTTACATAGTCATCAGCAGTAATGGGCCATTGGTCACCTCCTTCTCCTTGACACTCGCGCATGTGGCTTTCTTAGGGAATCATGCTCGTGGCTCTTCCTGCCTTATTGGGCTCTCCTTCCCCATCTCCTTTCCTGGACTCTTATTGTCCTGACTTTGGGACACTGGCGCAACCCCACATCCCCAACGAGAGCCCCGGAGGTCCTCTCATTTCCTTGGTGAGCTCACCCAGTCTTCTGGTGCTAAATGCCCCCAGATGCGTCTCCAGTATAGACTTCTCCCTGACCTCCGGAGGTCATAGTGCTGGGCGTCCAGCATGCTTTGTGTATCCTCGACACCAGTCAGCATCTCAAACTTGGCACATTCAAAAGCAAACTCCATATTTGTCCCCACTACCTCCTTCCTCAGTGTCCCCTTTTTCAGGAAAGGGGAAGTCCTGCTTTTCATTTGCTAGGGCCACAATCTTTGGGATCACCTCCTAGTCACACCCCACATCCAATCTATCAGTGAGTTCTGTAAGCACTGCCTTCAAA